CCTCTTTCTCTATTCTCCTCTTCCTCCCCCCTTTTCTCTTCCTCTTTTCTCCTCTTCCTCTTTTCTCCTCTTCCTTTCTCCTCTTCCTCTTCCTCTCTTCTCCTCTTGCCCCCTTCTCTTCTTCCTCCTCCCTTTTCTCTTCCTCCCTTCTTCTATTCCTCTCCTTCCCTTGTCCTCTTCCTCTTCCTCCCTTCTCCTCCTTCCCCTTCCTCCCAACAAATGTCTCACTTAGCGGCAGAAATGTTGGGCCCCATTGTGTTCGTGACGTGAGGACTACTTCTATTCAAATTGGCATTATCTGCATTGACGTTATTTAAATTGGCGTTACTTGAAATGGACATTGTTTCAATGGACCCCATTCTGCCCGGCAGAGATACTGCCCTGACTAAAGACTTATTATTATGATTGAAAACGTCATTTTGCTTCTTTCATCTAATCCTAAGTGTGAAGTCACGATTTCCAAATTTCTAAACTTGCCGGGATGTCTAGTGAGTTTTAAAATGCAGACGACCGGATTTCATAGCCGTCCGGATGAAATCAGGATCAAGACAAGAGGGAATTAGAGCCCTGAGGAAAAAGGGGTCAAAAAAGTCAAGATGGCGCCCATCACATGACCAGAACCCTGCCCGGTTGGGACTTCCATGGTGAGTGGTCGCCATTTTGAACCTCCCACAAATCAAAATACTTTCCCGCTTCCGGAGATAGAGGCATTTACCCAAAAGGAGAAATTTCCGCTTTTCCCCATAGAGACTGAGGAGTCCGGTGCAGTATCTTTCCACCGCCAAGCCCGTCCGGTATTCCCGGAGCAGAAGGGCGAATCCTTGGATCTCCTGGGGGCTCAACTTGTTTCGTAACTGTGGGGCAAAAGAAGAGGACTTGTTATAGGGAGGGCATTGGGAAAGCCCTACTGCACCTCCACGGGCCTTCTCCCGCCTCTTCCTTGTATCTTCGGTGGCTTTATAGCAGGGGTCTCCAAAGTTAAAGCAACTTTAAGACTTGTGGACTACAACTCCCAGAATTCCCCAGCTGGCAGGTCTCCAAAGTTAAAGCAACTTTAAGACTTGTGGACTACAACTCCCAGAATTCCCCAGCTGGCAGGTCTCCAAACATGGCCACTT